AAGATAAACGAAAAATAAAAAGAAAAAAATAGAAGACCGGAAATCAACGTAACAAAAAAAAATATAACCTAAAAAAAAACAAAAAAACATTGAAAAAAAAAGAAATAAAAAAAATATGTAAATAAACGATCGCGCAAAAAAACCAAAAAACGAGAGTAAAAACAAAAAACGGACCGACGACCCCTTCTGCCTACTATAAATAGAATAGAAATTAATTGGCCAACTGATATTACTGATGATAAAAATTAGGCCGGCATGGGGCGTATGCCTGTAGTCCAGCTACTCGGGAGGCTGAGGCAGGGAGGATCGCTTGAGCCCACGGAGTTGAGGTTGCTGTGAGCTAGGCTGACGCCACGGCACTCACTCTAGCCTGGACAACAAAGCGAGACTCTGTCTCAAAAAAAAAAAAAAAAAAAAAATAAAACCAATAAAAAAAAAAAAAAAAAAAAAAAAAAAAAATAAAAAAATTTATGGGCGTGAAAAAATACTCGCACAGGCACAAAGTGAGCATGTGGCTGTTGGAAAAATGGACCAATAGACGTGTCAATGCAGTGTCACCATGAAACTTTCAATTGTGTGAAAGCCTCGGAGTCTGCCGCGCGCAAATGAGGTGTGCTGCCTCACTCCTCCATGCGTGGAGGGCACGAGCCCGCACCTTCCAACTGATCGCCCGCCTCTTAAGGTTGAGTTCAATTGGGTTTATGTTTCAACGATGTTGGCTGTTGCATGGTGGTCCAGCGCTGTTAATTTCAGCAGCTTCGTGATGGCGGCAGGGAGTGTCTACTTGAGGCAGGAGGTTGGGAGACCCAGCCTGAGCAAGAGCGAGTCCCGTCTCTACTAAGAAAATTAGGAAAAACTAGCCGGCATGGTGGCACCTGTAATCCAGTCTTTTGGGAGGCGAAGGCAGCGAGGGTGGCTTGGAGGCCCAGGAGTTTGGAGTTAAGTGAGCTAGTGCTGACACTATCGCACTCTAGCAGGTGACCAGAGCAAGACTGCCGTCTGCAAAAAACAAAACAAACAAAAAAACCACAAAACCAAAATAATAAAATAAATTTCAACATGATGAATTTTTGGGACACCAAACATTCAGTCGCTGCGGCGGGGAGTCAATGGGTACCACATCAAACCCGATATATCGGGTTGACAGAGAGGCGCGTGAGCATTTGGTGAGGACAGCCACAATAAGGCGTTAGTGCCACAAAGCCACATTTGCTCTGTTCCCTATCACTGGACCCAAGTGTCCATCAGCTGGTGACGGATTAAAAACCGTGGAACGTCCACGGGTGGCCCGAGTCTGCCAGGGCTGCCAGCACGGAAAGCCCCGCAGACAGGGTGCTTAAAACAACAGAAATGTTCTATCTCACCATCGTGGGGGGGCTGGAAGTCCGGAGGTCAGGCGTCGGCGGGTCTGGTTTCTCCTGGGGCCTCTCTCCTTGTCTTGTGGACGGTATCTTCTCCCTGTGTCCTCTGTATTGTCCTTCCGTGTCCTAATCCCCTCTTCTTAGAAGGACCGCAGTCAGACTGGATGACGCCCCACACTAATGACCTTACTGCAATTTAATCACCTCTGTAAAGAGCCTGTCTCCAAACGGTCACGTGCTCAGGGACTGGGGGTTAGGGCTTCCGCACGTGAACTTGTGGGGGACACAGTTCAGCCTGTGACACCAGACACTGGCATATTTTCAAGCCACAAAAAGGTACAGAGCATGGATAGATGCTGCCACATGGGTACTCTTGATGTCGCACTGAGTTAAAGCAACAAGTGACGAAGCACCACATACTGTGAGCCCATTGGTAGGAAAAGTCTGGAACAGGTAATCCCCAGGGACAGAAAGCAGAGCCGTGGCTGCCAGGCTGGGGAGGAGGCACTGGGGAGGGCGCTGGGAGGAGACTGCTGAATGGGTCGGGGGGTTCCTTGGGGTGACGGAAACGTCTAGGAGTTAGTGGGGACAGTGGCCCAATTGTGAACATAACTAAAATCCCGAGTTGTGCACTTTTAATGGAGGGGTGAATTCTTTTATTATTAGTATGCGAATGATATTCAAATTAATAAAATTCCTGGGAAAATATCTCCTGACCGAAAAATGGCATCAATCAGACAGCCATGCCTGCTTAGTGTTCTTCAAAAGGGAGGAACCAGGAGCCTTCCTGAATTCCCACCCTGCGATGGATGGAAAACCACATAGTCTAGGTGGTTGGAGTAGAAATATTCCAAACAGCATGGAGATAAAAGAAACATTTTGTATAATCAAGACTGATACCTCTGGACTCGAGGGGGGAGGGGGGCAGGGCAACTTAACATTTGTACCCCTGTAATATGCTGGGAAAAATCAATAAATTAATAAAAAGATAAGAGAAAAAAAGTGATACCAAATCACATTTGATACAGTTCGATTGGCCTGGTTACTGTGTCACTCCACTGGATTTATAAATATTTTTTACTCATGCCGCTCACGTGAGTGGAGACGGGCAGCTGATCCAAGAAGGCCGTTCAAGGTCATTCTGCTTTTTAAGGGCCTACAGTTCTATGTAGTATTCCATTGCGTATATTCTTTAACGTAGTATTCTATTATGATACGATTTGTTCGGTAAAATAACATTGGATTACAAAAAGTTCATACTCAAGTTCCTTTCCAAGAGTGCTCCTCCTCTAACTTGCTGCACTTGCTGTTTCTGGCTCTTCCCGGCTTGCCCTCCCATCCCGAATGACTAAGGAAATTTATCTTGAGATCTATTTCTTCATTGCAACCCCTGGTTTATTTTGCACTCGCAGGTCAGATTTGATGTGATGCTATTTGTTTCTGACCACTCATATTTCCAGGAAGTCTAGAATGGTATTATGTTTAGAAAAACCCACGAGATTGTTTTGTTTTGTTTGTTGTTGTTATAACCTTGAAATATTCGTTTTTTTTTATTTCGGGCATATTATGGGGGTACAGATTTAAGTTTCAATAAATGCCCTTTCCCTCCCTCCCCCCACAAGTCTGATTCTCCAGCATGACCATCCCCAGATGGTGCACATCTCAGCTCATTATGTATGTATATACCGCCCCCCCCTGCCCAATACCCTATTACTGTAGTACCTATGTGTCCACTTAGGTGCTGCTCAGTTTACCGAGTTGCTGGTGAGTATATGTGGTGCTTGTTTTTCCATTCTTGGGATACTTCACTTAGTAGTATGGGTTCCAGCTCTAACCAGGAAAATATAAGATGTGCTATATCACTGTTGTTCTTAGAGCGTGAATAGTACTCCATGGTATATATAACGACATTTTATTAATCCATTCTTAGATTGATGGGCACTTGGGCTGTTTCCACAGCCTTGCAATTATGAATCCTGCTGCTATAAACATTCGAGTGCAGGTGTCTTTTTAGTAGAGTGTCATTGGATCTTTTGGGTAGATGCCCAGCAATGGGATTGCTGGATCAAATGGTAGATTCACTTGTATCGCTTTAAGGTATCTCCATATTGCTTTCCACAGAGGTTGAACGACGAGATTATTTTTGTAAAATAATTCAGAGCTATTCCTTCCTCTACTGTAGGTTATTAAATTATCAGCAGACAGGTCTGGAAGTTTGAATGTCAGTTTCGTGGGCAGAGAGCTGCCAGGATTCGTGAATTACAAGACGTTTGAGACTATCGTCAAACAACAGATCAGAACCCTGGAAGAGCCGGCTGTGGACATGCTGCACAAGGTGACCGGTGAGTTCTTGGTTTCGCCTTTAGGCATTGTGTTTCCAGGGCAGGGAAAGGTCTGAGCCAAAGCCAGCGGTACACTCCCTTCAGAGCCTTCCTCCTGGGGTGGTTTCCAGCACCAACAAGCAGCTCGCCAACTTGGTGCCCAAGAGCTCGATTCAGTTCTAATCCTAACTGCCACGGTCAGCACAGACCCCACAGACACCTGAAGGACTCGGTCCCACAACTTCCCCCAGCTACAGATGTCAGTCTAGAGTCGCACAGACCTCCCGCACTCCTACCTGGCCGTCTGTAAGTCAGGGGTCCTGCAACCCGCTCCTCAGCCTCCATCCTTTTGCTAGAATAGGAACGCACTTTGCTGACCATTCCTGGTTTGCTATAAAAAGGATATTTTAGGCACAAAAGGACAGCCAGGTGAAGAGGAAGCTAGGGCAAGTTCTGGGAGGGTCCCGAGTGCAGGAGCTGCTGTCCCCGTGGAGTGGGGGTGCACACCCCGCCCCCTGCATGGGTCTGTGCTCACCTTCATGAGCAGGATTTCTTGGAAGCTTCATCACGCAGGCAGGACGGATCGTCCACCGATGTCCTGGCCCCTCCCTCCCTGCAGCTGCAAGTCCTAAGCTTCTAGTCGTGTCTCGGTCTCTCTCGTGACCAGCTCTCGTCCTGAAGCTACCGAGGGCCCACCGAGCGTTAATCTCATTAGAACAAGAGACGCTTCTATCGGCCAGGAAATCCCCAGGGGTGTAGGCGTCCGTGTCAGGAACTAGGCACAAAGACCAAGTGCGCGTTTCCTGTCATGCCGCGACTCCACCCCTCCACTGCTAGGGCTGCGTCACACTCTCGCGGTACTGCTTGCTTGACATTTCTGAGACATAAAAAGTCAGCGATTAAATAACTGTGCGTGAAGGCATGTCTCAAGCATCCTAAAGTGACGCAGGAACTAGGTTGTCACGTGTCACAGGCAGGGCGGAAACTGTACCGTACTACGGTCACATCCGTCCTGAAATGCTTTGCCTCCTTGGTTTTCCTGATGGGTCGAATCTCTTTTTCTTCGTCCTTGAATGGCGACATCCTTACTCAGACTTCGACTGGCTCCCTTTAGCAATAATTAATAATCATTCGTAGATCGTGAACTAAGGGGCTGGAGACAGCTTTGGAATGGCTCACTGAGAGATGTACATTTCCAATAAAATTTTACCTCTTAAGCTTAATAATTACATACCCAAACCTGTCATTGTGTTGCTTTTGGTCAATTACACACGCTTAATTCACTCAGAAGAAAGTTTGTAATACTTGTATGTTTAATCATACAAAACAGTTAAAAAAAATAATATATATATATATATCTACTTCTGTTCTGGAAATATATGATATGAAGATCAATAGAAGATATTCAAGCATAATGATACAGTACATTATATTACAATAAAAATTCTGTGAGGAAGTAGAATAGAAATATGAGTTTGAAAAGTAAAAGATAAATAATGTCCTTTTTTAAAAATCTAAATCAGAGCTTGTTCTTATATTTCGTTTCAAATGGAGAATGTGGTCAGTCAGATTTCATTGTATATTTAAGAGTGATCTGACAGCTTTATTATAAAATATTAATATATTTATAATTTACCAGAATTTACATTCTTTGCAGCTATTTATATTTAGGATAAAAAGTTTAAATGTCAAATAAATATATACCAGGTAACATTTAGGTTTTAAATTTCTTCCTATGAGTTCTTCCAGTAAAAGGGCATGCCTTGCTTTTTTTAATGGTAAAGAGGAGAAGGGAGGGAGGGAGGAAACTTTTCATCTTACCATTTTATACAAATTTTTTTGCAATCTAGAACAAGTACAAATGATCCTACCAATATTGAACTGTTTTTCTTTTCCTGATCAGATATAGTCCGGATGGCTTTCTCAGATGTTTCGATAAAGAATTTTGAAGAATTTTTTAACCTCCACAGAACTGCTAAGGTAAAACCAACTGTCTGTTATTAAAAAAAAAAAAAAAAGCCTGACACTAGAATGCAGATTTCTTGGATTAAGACCATTAAAAAAAAAAAAAAAAAAAGCCTGACACTAGAATGCAGATTTCTTGGATTAAGACCATTTCAACTTTATTGTATCTATCTATTTATTTATTTTGAGACAGAGTCTCATTCTGTTGCCTGGGCTAGAGTGCCATGGTATCAGCCTAGCTCACAGCAGCCTCAAGCTCCTGGGCTCGAGCGATCCTCCTGCCTCAGTCTCCTGAGTAGCTTGGACTACAGGCATGTGCCACCATGTCTGGCTAACTTTTGCTTTATATTTTTAGTTGGCCAATTAATTTCTTTCTATTTTTAGTAGAGATGGGGTCTCGCTCTTGCTCAGGCTGGTTTCGAACACCCGACCTTTAGCGATCTGCCCTCCTTGGCCTTCCAGAGTGCTAGGGTTACGGGCGTGAGCCACCGCGCCCGGCCCTATTGTATCTATTTAGAGGAGCAAACACCGTAGCTCACCTGCAAATCTTACTAACGGTGTTACCAGTGATGTCCAGTTAAAAGCAACGAAGAGAGAAAGAGAACGCTTACACTCGTGGGAACAAGAGGTCCACAGTTATTGTAGAAGACGATCACATCTGAAGGAAATAGCCCCAAATCCAGAAACTCGTTGAGGAAGCTAAGGCTAAAACTGGTATCTTTTGAGAGTAAAGAAAGAGCCAAGAAGAAACGAGAGACGCCCCCTCTCCACTCAGCCAGGGGGCCAGTCTGGGCCAAGCAGCCGACTCATCCCCTCTCAGACACAGGGTCCCCGGCACAGCTGGGGCGAGCTGGAGGTCCCGGGACAGGCCGCTGCACCAGCCTGGGCCTCTGGCTCCTCATCCATGAAGTGGGACCAGGAAGACCTTCCTCGGAAGGTTGTAGGAAATGCTTGGGACGCGGCCAGCGCGGTGCCTGGTGGCTGTCACCAAGGCCCGGAGGGCGCAGGTGTTCTCTGCTGCCGTCCCTCCTCCTGGGCGTTCTGGCAGCCAGTTTCTCTAAGCCTCCCAGGAGCTCGGGGAAACAGAATTTGGCCGAAGTGCCGCCTCCCTTGTCTCCTCCCCGCGGGCTCTCTGGCGGGTGTGACCTCCTCACTCGCAGACGACGCCCAAGTCCCCAAGGGAGAAGAGACAGGAGCTGCGTCCTGGCGCCCGAGGACACAGCCCGTGCAGGTCCCAGGCCCGGGGAGGGGTCTGGTCACGCCTGCGGCTTCCCCGGAGATGCCGCCCCTCGGCCCCCACTTGGAGCGGCCGTGGGCGGCCTGTGCGCTCTCACGCGTGTCGGGGAAGCTGACGCACGCGGTCTTTCCAGGCGACCTGTCTTCGTGCGTCTCGGGGAGTCGCTTCCCCAGGGGGAAACTGAGTTGTGCTTGTCTTTTGCCGTAGTCCAAAATTGAAGACATCAGACTAGAAAAAGAGAAGGAAGCTGAGAAGTCGATCCGACTGCACTTCCAGATGGAGCAGATCGTCTACTGCCAGGACCAGGTGTACCGGGGCGCGCTGCAGAAGGTCCGCGAGGAGGAGGTGGAAGAAGAGAAAACTAAAAAGTCAAGCGGTTATCATCCTGTGCAGACTACACAAAACTCCAAAGATTCTTCCATGGCTGAGATCTTTCAGCACCTGATGGCCTACCACCAGGTGAGTCTGCGAACCTCTCAGAGGGGCGTTTCCTTTTCTTCCAAATGCCTCTCTCCCTGGTCTAGCTCTCCCTGCAGGTGGCCGCCGCTCAGCTCCACTGTTTGGCTCTTTCTCAGCCTTGATAGGAGAGGCTGTGGCTTAGAGCCACTGACACCTGCTTCTGACTCGCTGTGTGGCCCTGGCCAAGTTACTTAACCTCTCTGAGCCTTGGCTTTCTTCTCTGTAAAGTGGAATCTCCCCATGGGGTTCTAGCGACTGTTCCGCGAGTCAGGTGTGGTTACGTTCCTTAGCGCGGCGTTGGAATGCAGCTGCAGCTCACCAGGTGGAAGCTGTCCCACAGACGTGTACGTTCATTGACACTGCACGCTTCAGTTGACTGAACGTGCAGTCTAACTCATCCCGGGGACGGGGACTGTGAACCCAGGTACAACTCGGGTAGAGCCGTGGGGATATGCAGAAATCTGGACAGGTGAAGCAAAGCGCCATCTCTTGGTTGGCCAGACGTCTCCATCAGTTCACAGTCTGGAGGGCTAAGGCAGTGCTGCTCAGACGCCACCACGCACACAGGCCTCCCGCGAGGCGTGCTGAAGTGCGGGTTGCTGATTGCAGGTCTGGGGTGGGGCCCAGATTCTGCACTTTTCACGGGCTCTCGGAAGATGCCCGTGCAACTGGACAAGAGACCCGCTACCAATGGCCAAACCGCACTCCTGCAGACGCTGGGAGGCGCAGGGGCTGAGTGCAGCCAGTGAAGGGTGAGACAGGAGCACACAGCTGCTTCTCTGCAGCTGAGCCCAGCACCTGTCTGCTGCTCACGCTGCCTCTTAGAATGCATGAGCAGGTAAGGTGTGCACCTGTGCAAAACCCAAAAAGGTAGAGTGAGTGACGGTGGAAAATGAGTCTCCAACCAACCCCACCAGAGCCAGGCAGCTCCCTCCCAGGAAGCAGCCCTTCTCCAGGTTTCCCGTCCTCCCAGGGCAAACCCCTGCGTTGGAAAGCAGCCCTGCATGTGCTCTTTGCGATTGTCTTTGCACCGAGGGTAGCGGAGTAGTGCACGTGCCGTTCTGCACCCTGCTGCTCTTGCTGTGCCTGGGAGACACCCCGTTCTTTATAACGGCTGCCGAGGGGACCGTATTGGAGCCCTAGCGCGCTGAGCCAGTCCCCTGTTCGTGGAAGTAGTTTGTTTCCAGTCTCGGGCTAAAGCAGGAGCACCGATAGCCTCCTCCCTACGTCGTGTATCTGGGAGCGGAAATTGCTAGAAAGGAGATTCCTGGTGTATTGGTGCCAGGGAAGCAGAAGCAATAGGATATATGTAGCTACAGAAATATAGTTCAAGGACTTGGCTTGTGGGGCTGTGAGGGCCGGCCAGTCCAAAATCTCCTCTTCTTCCGCAAAACCTCATTTCCGCCCTCAAGACCTTTCAGCGGATTGGCTGAGGCTGCCCAGGTCATGGAGGGTCATCTCCTTGAAGTCACAGCTGTAGGTGTTAAGCGTGCGTACAGAATGCCTCCCCAGCGACACCCACGTCCGCACTGATGGACTCCCTGGGGACCCTGGCCCAGCCAGTGGACGCACGCAGCTGACCGTCGCGCCTGGGGAAAGCACAGCGTGTTGCAGACTGGCAAACATTACCCGCTTTTTGCGGTTTAGTCCACATCCAAAGTGGAGTCATCTGTGGAAATCATATTGGCGAAAATCGATGTCTTTTAACTTTAATTGGCAGTTCTCTTACGACAACGAGGTGGTCCATCTTTCCGTGTGTTGAGAGTGATTTTTGTTTCTTGTGTAGCAAACTGTCCATGTAGGAGGAGCTCTTGGCACGGTGAGGGGTTAGGCTTTTGTAACTTAGGATGCATGCAAATACTCTATATTTCGTCGTTTGCCTTGTGACTTCGTCTCTGGTGGGTTTAGACCGGGCTGAAGTTTTCTAGACTTGTGGGTTGGATTTCATTGTTGTTTCTTTTTGGTCTTGTGTGTTTTCTGGTCATACTTTTTTTTTTTTTTTTTTTTGAGACAGAGTCTCACTCTGTCACCTGGGCTAGAGTGCCATGGCGTCAGCCTAGCTCACAACAACCTCAAACTCCTGGGCTCAAGCAATCCTCTTGCCTCAGCCTCCCGAGTAGCTGGGACTACAGGCATGCATGCGCCACCATGCCCGGCTAATTTTTTCTATATATTTTTAGTTGGCCAATTAATTTCTTTCTATTTTTTAGTAGAGACAGGGGTCTCGCTCTTGCTCAGGCTGGTTTTGAACTCCTGACCTGGATCGATCCTCCCGCCTTGGTCTCCCAAAGTGCCAGGAATACAGGCATGAGCCACCACGCCCAGCCCGTTTTCTGGTCATACTTTAAAAGGATTTTGTCTCTCTGAGGTTATAAACAATTGCACAATATTTCTTCAAGTCATTTATTGCTTTAGCTTTTACGTTGTACCCGTGATGCATTGGGAATTATTGGAGGCCAAGAGTCCTGTCCCAGCGCCATCAATCAACACAATCTTGTCCCCATGACAGCCACCTGCCCTGCCGTGCACACTTCCCTCCTGCACTCAGGTCCTTGTCTGGAGCCTGTCTTCTGGTCTCTTGGCGGTCTTGTCCTCGATCATTGTCACCGTGGTCACATGCGAGCATCCCTGTGCAATGTCACACTGCACAGCACAGCCAGTGTTCTTGCCTTCATTGTGCCACGATATTTGTTAGATATATTTTACCATCTTAACCGTCAGTATTTGTAGGTGTTCGGTTCGATGGCGCCAAGTCCATTCACATTGTGGTGCAGCCATCACCACCGTCCATCTCCAGAACGTTTCTATTTTCTCAGACTGAAACTCTGTCCCCGTGAAATGCTAACTCCCCTCCCCTCCCCCAGCCCCTGGCGCCCACCTCTCTACTTCCGGTCTCTATGGATTTTACTGCCCTGGGGACCTCGTACAAGTGGAACCACACGGTATCTGTCCCTTTGCGACTGGCTCACCTCACCCGCACGATGTCTTCCACCTTCGTCTGCCTGGTGGCGTGGGCCGGAGTCTTGGTCCCTGTGCGACAGTAATGGTCCACTGATGCATGTGTCACCTTGGCTTCATCCGTGGACACCTGGATTGCTCCACCTGCTGGCTGCTGAGACCAGGGCTGCCACGAACATGGGTGTACAAGTATCCGGGCCCCGCTGCTTTTTATGTAGAAACTTTCTGTGTATTTTTGCTTATTCCAGTTTCAGGATGGATTTTAGAATGAGCTTATCCAGTTTCCTAGGAGCAGAGAGAACCGCTGGTGTGTTTATTGGGATTGCATTCTCTGCCTGGGTCCACGTAGGGCAAGCTGGCGTCTTTCTGACGCCACGGCTCCTGTCCACGGGCATCTGGGGTCTTTACATTTTCAAAGCCTCTTTTCGGTGGGGGGGGGGTGTCTCAGGAGCATATTGCAGTTTTCTTTGTGTCGACAGTGCACAGTTCTGAGGTTTGTGCGTACGTATTTCCTCGCCGCTGTGTCTGCTGCACAGGGCCCTCTCCCCCATGACACCTTCCGCAGTTGGAGGTAGGTGTGGCTTCCATGCATGAGCTTATGCCCCACACCCCGCTGCGTCTCTTACTGCGTGTGGCGGTTTCACGGCTTCCCCAGGGGCACACGCACCATGTGCAGGTAGCGATGGCTGTGTCCTGCCCTGGCCCCAGCATCACACCTGAGCCCCTTCCGTCCGCCTATTCCTGTCTCCTTTCCCCGTCTGCACCGGGACATGGGCGCCCCCTTCGCTCGCTCTGGCCCTGGGACACGCACCGCCCTGTGTCCCGTCTCTGTCTCACTGACCCCCTCCACTGACTTCCACCAGGTGCTCATTACGTGCCTGGCATCTCTCTAGACCTGTGTCCTTTAACCCATTTCGTCTCTGTAGCCACCTAGTGCTGTCCGTGCCCCTGCTCCAAAGGGAAGGGCACCGAGGCACAGAGAGGTGGCAGGACTTGCCCGGGTACCGGTGCCCGTCACCTTCCTGCACGGTTAGCCAGGCCCGGGAAAGAGGACACCTTCCCTAAAGGTGGGGGCTTCGGGGGGAGGAAATGGGAAGTGTGTGCATGTGCAGGTAACTCAGGGGTTCCTTCTGTGGCCTTTGACAGCCCAGCGTCCACTTCCTGCTAAAATCACCTGAGTATGGATGAAAGACAAGCCGTGACGTCTTCTCGGCAGGGTTGTGACTGATCTGGAAATGCAGTTCCTGTGCTGTCTGTGCTTCTTAAGAGCACGTCTTCCCTCTCCCATCTGCAGTCCCCGCTTCACGGCCAGGAAAAGCCGGTGGCTTGGAGCCGGGACTGTCCTTGCCCCGTGCGCGGCTCCCCTCCGCCTCCCGAGCAGAGGACGCTGAGGGGCCTGCAACCCGGGGGAGGGACCTTGTCCTCGCCAGGTCTCCCTCCCCGGGCATCTGGGCGCCGCGAGCCCGCCCCGACCCACCTGTGCGTTGTCCCTTCCTTCCAGGAGGTCAGCAAGCGCATCTCCAACCACATCCCCCTCACCATCCAGTACTTCGTCCTCCAGATGTACGGCCGGGAGCTGCAGAAGGGCATGCTGCAGCTGCTGCAGGACAAGGACAGCTACAGCTGGCTCCTGAAGGAGCGCAGCGACACCAGCGACAAGAGGAAGTTCCTGAAGGAGAGGCTCTCGCGGCTGGCGCAGGCCCGGCGCCGGCTGGCCAAGTTCCCCGGTTAATCGGGCTCTCTGCCCGGCCCCGTAGACACGCTTCCCCCCCCCATAGCTGCACCCCCACCATTCAGCCGCTGAACACTGTGTTTGGGCGCTCCGTGGCCAGGCCTGACGGGCACGGTCCCTGCTCAACCGTCAGCTGATGAGGACTTAGTAAGTGGCTCTGGCGGCCATCTGATCTCCAGCGCTGAGACGACTGCCCTGCCTGCGGACGCGCAGGGTCTCCACGGGGTGAATGAGGCCACGTTCCCGACCGGGAGGAAGTCTTTTCAGCCCCTAGAATCACTCTTCCTCCCTGAACTCTCCTCTTTGATTCGTTAGAAGCCCATGCATGCTAGCCACCCCAGGAGGGCTCTTTCCTGCTTTTTGTAATGTCCTTTCAGGAACCCAGTGTTTTCAGAGCATCGGTACCGCCTGTGTACGCTTCTAGGACTCGCACCTCTTTGTAATAAACTCATTTCTAGCAGACCTTTCTCGGATGTGCTTTGCATTTCGGGGAGAACCCGCAAGTGGCAGCAGGTAGGAGCCCAGTGGCGCAGGACTGAGCACCGAAGCCGCCCCCCGTGGCAGGACTAGGCGGGAGCGAGCAGAGGAGCAGGGTCTGAGGATTTGCTAGAGACTGAAGGGAAAGGGAGAGAACAGACTTAAAAAAAATGGAACCGAACGTGAAGCCAGCGGCACTGTTCACAGTGTGCACTGAACAAGTGTCCAGTTTGTTTAGTCACCAGGTACCTGCATGGACTTGAGGAAGAACAGGGTCAAGTACAAGGTCAAGAGGAGGTTGCGCTGTGGTAGGACTTTGCCGTGTGCAGGAGTGCTGGCTGGGGGGCGCCGGGAAGCAGAGGAGGGGGAATGTTAGCATGAATTGCCTTGGAGTAGAATTGCCCTGGGGGAGGGCTGTGGAGTCCAAGCTGTTCCCTTTGGTCTAGCCAGGGGCGGGAGACTCCCGGCCACACTCTTTCCCCCTTAACCCTCCGAGAACCACGGCTCCAAATCAGTGCTGCTGCCAGGACCTCCCTCCCCACTAGCCCAAGGCGGGCTCGAGGGCAGGATCGTGGACCGTGGCTGCAGGGGCTATGAGAAGACCTGCTGCTGTGTCCTGTACCCACCTCGGGGCGGCGCTCACCGGCCGCGGAGCCTTGCCCGCGGCCGCACTCACAGTCCGCACGGGGGTCTGTGCCGTGCGTTGACGACGAGTCCGTTTTGCTCTTGTGTGATGAGGGAAGCTTGAAAGCGCTGAAAGCTTGTTTTACATTCCAGGCGGCTTCACTTGTCATGTACATCAGAATAGGGAACGTATACATATATGTTTTCATTACGTTATTTTTAAATGTTTGCAACTTTATTTTGATAAATGAAAAATTAGAGAAGTCACATCGTGGCTGTCGGCTAAAGTCGCTGTGCCCGTTCATCTGTGGCTGTGGTCCCGAAGTGGTTAAGGGACAGTTGAGGGACCACAAGCGGCCGAGCCTGGGTGAGAGAAGACCAGGGGGCGCTGGAGGGATGAGGGGTGAACACTGCGGAGCAGACGTTCTCCACGGAGGCACATTCCACACTGTGGGGGATGGGGCGTGCTCTCTGCAGAGATGTCCAGAGTGGAGAGGGCCACCTCGTTGGGGAGTAGGGTGGGGGCCAGACCAGTGACACCGTCCCCTCCCATCTGGGCCCCCCACCCTCAAACCCCTTCTCACTCCTGGGGCTCTGATCCGTTGGGACCATTTGAGAATGTTGGCAGGAGAGAGGATGCCAGGAAAACAGCAGGCCTCGCTCCTCGGCTGCGGGGGCCTCGTGCCTCTGCCAGGTGTGGCCGGCCGGACACCTGCAGGCTGGCTGGGGACTGCAGCGGGCAGCACAGGCTGGTGGGTTTGGCGAGTGCTTGAAGGGAAGACTATACCCACACGCACGGACTTCCGTAGGAACAGGTCGTGCGTTCGCTGTGTGTGTTCCTGATCCGGCACCAGACATCCGTCCCTTCAGTAGACAGAGTCCAGGTCTTGTCACCTCACCGCTGGCCACCAGCCAGGCCAGCCCCTTCTGGGAGGCGGGCGCCCTCTCGTGGCCGGCTGGAGAACCTCATCACGGGGTCCCTTCCTTCCCACGCCCTCCCGCCTCCCTGTCAGTCATTCTTCCACTGACCTTAGATTCTGCAGGACCAGAAGCAGAATCAGTCAGGGGAGTCAGGGCGTTGCAAGGGATTCCACTTCACTGTTGCCATGGTTTCCCTCCCACCTGGGGAGGCAGGAGGAAGGAGGTGGACGGTATGTGCCTCAGAGAAGGGAGTTTACCTGGGGGAGTCAGTGAACCTGCTGGGAACCTGCCAAGGTGCTTGCAAGAACTTTCCTTTTGGCCAAAAAGAGCAAAGGTGGGTATGCCCAGGCCTGTCCCGCTACTCACTGAGAGAGGAGGGGTGCGTTGCTCCTTCTCCCAGGTGGTCAGAACTCACAGAGCCCTGGAGACCCCTTTGTGTGACTCCTTCACTCCCAGGTTCCCCAGCCCCATGGCCCAGGCCAGCAATGGCACGGCCCCCGTCTGCCCCGAGCAGCCCCCACACAGGCAGGCCCCTTGGGGCCAGGACCTGCATCTCTAGCTTGAAGGCCATCGGCCTGTGCAGAGAATATCCACCGTGTCTACTCACGGACCCACTCCGGGCAGGTCTGGGTCTCGGTTGACCCCGCAGGGTGGGTTTGAGTTTGGAGCACGGCAAGGAGAGGGCCAGGGGAGACTGGACACACAGAAACAGAATGCCCGGCTTTCCAGAGCATGCAGCAGGTGCTTAATAAATGCTGTGAGGAGGGCGTGGAGACTAGGGGATACTGGACATAAGCCTTGTTTGAATGATCTTCTGGCTTCCTGACTGCCCTCTAAGATGCCAGGGGGCATCTGCCTTCATTGTCACCCTTCCCAAGCAAGAAGCCCCCCAGACAGCTGCTGTTATTTCAGAGGAAGGGAATCCAATCCCAGTGGCAAGTCCTCCACCAGGTAGCAATAAGACAACAAAGGGGACACAGACCCTGGCCTCCAGATCCCACTTCTATTTTCCTCCAAGGAAAAAAAGGTCCAGCCCTCTATGCAGTTCGGTGGGTTTTCAGGCGGTTACAAGGCCAGCCTGTTCGATCCCAGCGAAGAGGACGGCCCTGGCAAGCTATCCAGCGCGTGCATAGCGCAAACACCAGTATTTATGGGGTTAATTCATTTAAAAGGAGTGAGCTGTTACCTTTGTGAATTGTTTCAGTGTTATGTTAGAAGTAGCATAAATTCCAGCATGTGTCTTAAAACCCCAGGCGCACCGGGCATGTGAGCTGTGGCTCATGCTGGGGCATCTTGAGACGTCCCCTCCCTGTGTGTTCAGAGCCTGGAAGGGCTGTGGCCTGGGACTGGACTCCAGCCGGGCTGGGTGCGGCTCTTTACAGAATGGGGCTGCAGGCAGTAGCCCCGGCCTGGGGGTCAAAGAGCTCAGAGCTGCACAGGTGAGCCATAAGGGACCAGAAGACAGAACCATGCACACGTGGACTTGAGTTTAAGGCGTGACCCTCCCCCAGCAACTCAGCCCGAGGGGAAGGAAGGGAAGGGGACCGCTTCTTTCAACACTGACCCTTCCTGTTGGGAGAAGCAATAAAGTGGGGGTGCAAATGACAGCTGTACTCTAATTAGCATTTGGGCTAATTTATATTAAGCACATTCCATTATGGCTTTTTATAAATGTTTACATACAAAAGTATCCATAATTTGCCTTAGTCTCTTGGCTTTCTGGATAGATCTTGGAAGTGAAGTCAGCCTCATCCAAAAGCAAAACCATTCAAAAGTAAAGTCACTTTCCAATGTAAAAGGTGTCACTGCATAAGAGCCGGCTGCTTTGCTCGCGGGGACATGTGAGGCATGCGGCTGATACTAGTTATTCACAGCCCCTCGTCTGTGAATTCACCTGTCTGCTAACATTGATCTGCAGCCGCCAGTCAACGCGCAGCCCTCTTGTGGGCAGGCGCGGGGCAGGGAGAAGTTTGTCACCCAAGGTGGACGTTGCCAGCCAAGGTCCAACGAGCGACACTCAGTCTTCTCGTCTCGGCTCTCGTGCTGTAAGTAAGTGTCCTTCCTACGGTCTGTTATTGAGTGCCATGTTTTCCCAATTTTTGAACTTTTATTTGGTGATGTCACTGTTTCAAATGCCCCCAAATGCAGGGCTGATGCCTTGAGCACAAGAAGGCCGGGACGTGCCCTTTTGGAGCAAATAGGTGTGTTAGAGAAGGCTCGAGTTACAGACTAACGTGTCTTTGAAGACTAATGTGTCTTTAAACGTGTCTTTAAACATACATAAAACAAAGTTCCGTATCCATCAGCTTATAAAAATGCTGTGGCCAGAGGCTCACGGGAACCTGACTCTATTTCCCCAGGAGCAAGGGTGCAATACTCCCCCTTCAGTGTTGACGGTGACTTCACAGAACATCACTACCGTAGCAAGTCACAAGAGTCTGTAAGCGTATTATCTAGCACAAAGATATGTGCTTTAATTTTTCCCCGTGCTTTTGACACATTGCGATGTAAGGAAGCCAACCTCCTCCCACGCCCTGGGATCCCTGTCAGGCACTGAGTGAGGGGTGCTAGGGAAAAGGGTGGGGTCTGTCCTCAAGCAGGGAAAAGCTGCCCCGGTCTGTCACCCACCCATGTCTCAACCACAGAGCCCTGGGATGGAACCGCGTGAGGGAGGTCTCTGCCACCGTGGACTCACAGGGCCTCCCCAGGGGAGACACCTGCAGGGACCAGACGTGACTCAGTGTTGGACATGCTGCCCCTGAGGGCGGAGGACATGAGGACACCAGGCAGACAGGCCTGCAGACGGTGGTTCTCGGGCTCCGAGTCTGGGAGGCCCTGGCCACGCCCACTCGGGAGTCACCGAAGGGACACCTTGGACAGGACCGGCTGCAGGACCCGAGGGTGGTCCGGCCCTGCCCGGCCTCCGAGCTCTGGCTGGCATGCCCTCCACCCCGGCCCCGCAGAGCGGCCTCCACATCCGCCCGCACGAGGACAGGCGGGCTGGCCCGGCGCCGGGCAGAGCTCCAAAGACGCAATAAATACGTGGAAAAAAACCATATAATTTATTTGCATGACATTCAATTTGACAATGGAATTTCACAATTTAAAAAAAGATACAAAACAGAAGACGAACCGTCAGTCACATAAATAAAAAGGAACGGCACAGGAGGAAGACGCTTTCGCCGTACGAGGCTGTGTGATACCTGGCTGGGGGGGCAGATGCCCCGCGGTGCCGTGTCCCAGGCCCCTGGGGACAACCCCCCCCACGAGGCGCATGGCACAGGAGTGTCCTGGGCTGCGGCTGGGGTTCTGTTTCAAGGTTAGGTCCTAGCAAGAGAAGCATTCATTTCCTTCTTTTAAAACCAGCGTGCTTGGAAAGGAGGCAGGACCACGGTGGAGCAGCACTCACGGCGGCACGAGAGGGACCCCCCACCCCGGCCCCCACGGAGCCCTGGGTGTTGGAAGGGACCACAGGAAGTCCGGAACGCAACGTCCTTCTCTTCTTCAGCACGTCTGTGGGAGCCAGTCCTTCCGTGAAGGTCATTCAGGTGCCCTGCACGTCCTTGGCCAGGACGACAACATCTCCGAGAGCCAAATGCCTGGACTCCTTGGAGGCGTCAGAGGCCAAGAATCCAGCACTGAGGTAGCAGCAGGTAGAAACACGACAAGGAAACAGGATGCACTTATCCTAAACCACACATCCCTGATGGCCCCAGGGGACTCGATTGCCAGCGATTGATTGGCAGGTGCAGAGAGGGTCCGCACGGTGCCCAGCTCGGCCCCCTGCCAGGACCAAGGTCAGGCACACTCTGCGAGGGGGCTGGAGAGGGGCCTCGGGGGCTTCCCCCAAGGATGCCAGGACGTGCAGGTGGAGACCTGCACCAGGAGCCACCTCTGTGACCGCTTCCCTTGCACCGAGGGCTGTCTACACTGCCGTCCCCGCAAGGAGGGAAAAAAATAAAAGGTTTCTGTTGCCCTTGCAAGTGACTAGCACGTGGCCACCCAAATAAAGGGCTGGTCCCTCTATTTGGAGACACCGTCAGGGGCTGCTAAGAAGGCACTACAACATGATTGGCAAAGACCCCTTGTGGAGAGCCAGGCCGCGGGGCTATGCAGGTGGCCGTCCCCTTTTCAAACTCAAGCCGTCCAGCAGCTGAGAGGTGACAGCTCCCTGCTCATGGAGGAGCAGCCCCCGGAACAGGCGCAGAAGGGAGGTCCCGCAGGGCAGCCTCCACCCTGCTCCTCTGCGTCTGGCCCAGCTGGGCTGTCGCCCCTCTGGACAAGGGGTCAGAGGGAATGGGGCTGGGGCCGGGGGAGCCACCGCGGCCTGCACAGAACGGCGGAGAGTGCCATCGTCAGACAAGTTCACTGTTTAATACAAATGAAAGGACCTTTGAATCATCTCTAAAAATAAATCACGCACGGGGAACCAAAGCCAGCCCTTCCATTTTCTTGTGGAACGAAGTCAAGGACAAAGGCCACGAGGATCAGCTGTTTGCCTGTTCAAACAGGAAGGAAAAACAAAAACCAGATGTGACCTTCTTAAGACAAACCAAAAGTAGAGGAGTATTGTTGTCTTCTCTAGATCGACATGAAGCACTTATACAGCAAACAAGCCAGTTTAATGGCACAAAGGGATCGCTGTGTCTCCAGCGTGGGCCAGAGTCGGGCCGGGACGGTGGGGCAGGGGCTGCGGGTGGACAGAGCAGAGGGGCACAGGCTGGTGTGAGTGAAGGCCGCGGCTCAGCGCAGCTGGGGCACATCTTACATCTGGGGAGCTGACCCCCGCCCGGTGTTTCATCAGCAGAGCCCTGGCCTCCTCCGGACGCTCTCCTGCCACTCAGCCCTTTCCGTGCCCGGGCCGGCCACGCTGACCCACCTGCGGCCCCCCACGCACCTTACTCCTTCCTGTCTCCGACCCAGATGGACTCCACCCCAGGCCTGGCCGACTGTCCCCTCTGGGCCCTGCCAGCCCCACCTCCCTCCCTCCCGCAGGACGGCTGGGTTTTCCATTTCCAGCGCTGTGGCCCCTGCCAGGCAAGGACCAGCTGGCCTCACGGTCCCAGGAAGGCCCTGGGTGGCTCCCGGGTGTCACTTAAGGGAGACACAGGCAGGGCCTTATGGGGCCGTGTCCCGGTTCTGCACCTCCTGTGACAGACCAGACACCTCGGGGGACTTGATAGGAGACAAAATAGAAGGTTTTCTCTCACCGGCAGCCTGGCCCCGGAGAAGGCAGACACTGGGAAGACTGCGGTCCCCCAGGCCCCGGGCATGGGAGGTCTGGCTCTCACCCCGGTCGGCGGCAGTGCCCCAGGCCCAGGCAGTCCGAGTCAGGCTGGGGAGCCTGGGCTCTTCCTTCCCTTCACAGCCCTCCCTGTGCCAGAGTCTGGGGCCCCACAGAGCTCCAGCTGCCTCTCCACCCCCGAGACCCTGGGGGTGGCCCAGGCCCACTCAGCAGCCCCAGAGAGGCTATGACACGGGCACAGCTGTCCCCTCTGCTCTCTGCCTGCCGCCACCGGGGCTTGGTGTGACGAGGTCTGGGGGGACAACCGAGTCGCTGAGCCGGGACAAAGCGTGGCCAGCAGAGCAGGAGGGAGATTCCTGCAAGCCGAGCCCAGACTTCTCCATCCACCACCGGGGGCACCTGGGTGGCGGCGATGGGCGGGCTCCAAGGGTCGGGGAAGGCGACCCTCAGGGCAGACCCGTGGCCGCGGGAGGCAGGCCTTGCTTCTTGCCACTGCCGTCACCGGTCAGCTTCTGGCCGTGGAGCCACGCCCAGCCGGCCTCGGGCTTGGGTCAAGCAATCAGGGGACCCAGTCGGAGTGGGGAGGGGAAAGTTACCTTCATTTGCTGATAAATCCAGTCTGCAAACACGGTCACGTTCCCGTACACTCCCGGTCGGTTAGGCTTGGCGCAGCCGGACCCCCAGCTGGTGTCCCCGACCAGCCACCAGATGCTGTTCTTCCTAGTGACCAGAGGCCCTCCGCTGTCACCCTGGGGGACAGAGCAAGTTACCCAGAGCAGAAAACCAAGCCCTGGCCGGGTGCGGTGGCTCACGCCTGTAATCCTAGCACTCTGGGAGGCCGAGGCGGGAGGATGGCTGAAGGTCAGGAGTTTGAGACCAGCCTGAGCGAGAGCAAGACCTCATCTCTACTAAAAATAGAAAGAAATGAATTGGCCAACTAATATATATAGAAAAAATTAGCCGGGCATGGTGGCGCATGCCTGTAGTCCCAGCTACTCGGGAGGCTGAGGCAGGAGGATCGCTTGAGCCCAGGAGTTTGAGGTTGCTGTGAGCTAGGCTGACGCCATGGCACTCACTCTAGCCTGGGCAACAGAGTGAGACTCTGTCTCAAAAAAACAAAAAAAAGTCCCTACCACTGGCCATGGCTGGAGGGGTGAGGGTAACAGAGATACAGTCCCCAAAAGAGACTACGCTAGCCGTGAACGTTGGTCTATACCAGCGAATAGTTATTAAATAAATTGCTGCTCATAGTTTAAAATAGTCAAAATACTTATTTCTGCTCCAGTGATACTTTTTACCAAACACAAGTTTTTCAGAGCGTGCAGGGTTCGTTGGTGGCACTCAATTCTGCCACCTGAAGCTCTCAGGCTGTTAGCGCCACCTCCCACGCTGCCCCCGAGCGGGCTGCCTGTCCCCAGGGAGGCTCCAGGGGCCCGGGAAGCCCTGTCTCTCCCGGGCGAATCCACAGGTGCGGGGAAGGCCCAAAGGCCGGACACAAAGCTGCAATCACCTGGCAGGAATCGACGGTCCCCTGCAGGTACCCTGCACAGACCATGGCGGGCGTGACCAGGTTGTTGTAGACGTATTTGCTGTTGCACTTGGAGGGCTCGATGAGGCGCACCTGGGCCGCGTTGAGAGTGTCCGAGGTCTTCCCTAAGGACAGGGTGGTTGGTCGAGCTCTGTCCCCCGGGGTGCCGTCGGGGGGCCCCCCCAGAAGCGTGGCTGTGCCTCCCCAGGGCCAGCACACACCTGTCCGTGCTCACCTGCCTGCGCCCCTCTCTCCTCCCTCCCTGCGCCCTGCCTGACACCAGGCCACCAGGCCGTCCCCTGGGCAACCTGGCTTGTCCTTGGCTGGCCCGGGTGGAAGGCAGAGCTGGGGTTCAGCGTCAGGGAACAGAGCTTGCTACCTCTGGAGCCACGGGACTCCCTTCGTGTCCGGGAATCTTTCCCCGATTTTCCCATTGGTCACCTGCTCGTTACCTGCCGTTCCCAGACACTCGGGGGCTCGTGAGCCCACACGACCTGCCAGACTGCCACCTCTGGGCTCCCTGCACGTCAGAGCCCCTCGGACACGGCCGGCACCCGCTGTCCCTGCCGTCCCCTCCTGCCATCCCCTGCCACTTGTCTCCTGAGCACCGCGGGCTGCACGTGCAAGGACAGAGCCCCGCATCACGCCTCCTCCGCCCCGGATGCTTACTGCCCAATCTCCCCGGCTCGGGATTGGCACCACCAGCTCTGGGGCTCCGGCCACACAGCAGGAAGTCACCGCCTGCCACTGACTTCTCACTCTCCCCCGCTGACATCCAGCCCAGCAGTGAGTCTGGTGGCGCCAGCCCAAAGGCATCCTCGCCTCCCCACGTCCACACCCCCACCTTGCTTTGAGCCACCATCATGTCCCAGGGGACCACAGCGATGGCCTCGTCACTGTCATCCTCACCTCCTCTTGACCCCCCCCTTCCCGTGACACCCCACACAGCTGTTACATCAGGGCACTGCCCTGGGTAGGACCTCCCTGTCTCGCGTGGGAGAGAAGCCGCTGTCCTCACCATAGCCCGTGAGCCTGTGCAGCTGGCCCAATCCAGGCCCTTGGCCCCCGATCACTGGCCCTGCTGTTCCTCTCCACACCTGCCATTCAGGGCAAATTCAGGCTCAAATGCCACCTCTTCCAAGAAGCCTGCCCTGGTCACCCCTTCAAAGTAGCTGGGCCCATGCTATCACCACCCTCCGCCGTCAGCAAGCACCTAGTTCAGTTGTCCCCCTGGCTGTGTGACCCCGAGTGCCCACACACCACTGTGGCGTGAAGGCCCCAAGGGAAACATGCTTGTCTTATTCTGTTCAGTGCAGCATTCCCAGCACCCAGCCGTCCTAGGTGTGCCACTTAAGTTTCCTGGTACTCCCTCTGGTCCTAGACGCCATGAGGCCGTGCCCGGCTGTGCAGCCCAACTGCTGTGGCTTCCTGCAGACGAGATGCCGGGGCGGCCCCCCGCTCTCTCCCCAGGTACCCCCTGAATCACCCAGCCCTTCTACCTTTTCCCTTGTTTTAAAGGGTTGGTTTTGCATGTGGGCTAAATGCTTCTTAGAAGGATGTAAATAATGTATACGATGAACCTTTGTATCGCTAAGCGCTTGCAACCTTCCATGCGTACAAAACAGCCGGGTCCCTTCGTTGGAAACCCCCCCTGGGCGGAGAGCAAGTGACAGCCAGCAGGGCGGGCAGCCCACACAGGGGTCCGGTTCCTGCTCCCGTCTGCCTCCGCAGAAGGACAAAGCCCTCAGTGGAGTACAGGTGGCCATGACAGGTCACAGGGCCCACCCTCGCCAAGCCCACCGTCACTCAGCCACGGAAGGGCCTGGTGGGACTTCCAGGTGGGCCTTAGTGGCAGCGGGCACAAACACGGGGACGCTATACCGCTCACATTTATGGGGCCCTTATGCTGCAAAAAGCCGTTTCTACACACTGACCCGTTGGATCTTAGTGATCCATTTTAGGGCACCATTTTTCCCATGTAGCAGATGGAGAAACTGAGGCACGGGGACCGGGGAATTGCCCAGAGCCATCCAGTTGTTGAGTGGTAGAACGGGGATTAAACCCGGACCTCCCGAGTCCGAGCCCAGCGCCCCGCCACGGGCCCTGCGGGCCTGCGTGCAGGAACCTCACCTTTCTCCTCGGTGGCCCCCCACCCGGAGATCCAGCAGGGCTGCTCCGGCGCCAGCATCAGGCCCGGGTTGGGCAGGCACACTGGCCTCACATTGTCTGTTCAGGAGGAGAGGACACCGTGAGCCAGGCCGGTCTCGCCGAAGGCCCCAGCCGTGGGCCCGGCCAGGCCCTTCCTCATGGGCAGCCCGCTGGGCCCGGCCCCACCACCACCCCGCCCGGAGAACCCGGGACCCCAGTGTGTCGTGGCACTGTCACTTCCGTCCCTCCAGCCCTCCTCCCAGCAGGCAAGAACTCATGCTGCTTATAAGTGGAATTCTTTGCTAGCTCTGCTTCTAAAATTTCACCATGTCTCCGAGTGACAGAGGGTGGGAAAGACACTCGGGGGTCAACGGCAAAAAAGCCAGTGGCACCAGCTTGTCCCTCACTCGAGCTTTGGCTCCTCTCTGCATGAACCGTTTGCCAGCGTGAATACAAACACCTCGGGGAGGGACGAGGTTTGGCTTTTGTGCCCACGTGGGGCTAGAACGTCCCAGACCCTGGGACAGACTAGAGCCGTGGCCAAATAAGAAGCTAAGGGAAAGCACGTTTGTTTTGAATTAAGCATCTTGCTTTCAGAACGTATATTGAAACAATAAATTATCTTCACAAATTATAGACCAATTGTGCTCAACTGGAGGCGTCTTTGCCACTCAGGGGACATCTGGCAATGTCTGGAGGCAACCGTGGTTGTCACAGCCACGGGAGCCACTGACACCCAGCGGCAGAGGCTGCTGTAGGTCCTGCCACGCCCAGGACAGCCCTCCACCAAGAACAGCCGGCCCCGCCAGCCAGAGCAGCGCGGTGGAGAGCCGTGTTCTAGATTCTGCTGGTGGCTTGAACTGTCATCGCCACAGGGTGGAGAACAGACATGGCACCTCCCTCCCCACGCCACTTCACCCACCGCACGCCACTGTCACGCCGCGCACCTGCCGCCCCGCCATGCAGCTCAGGGCAGGTTTTACTTCCAATCAACGTCCCCTTAAGGCTTGGCCGAGGGGCGCATCACCGGGCCATACGTACGGTCAAAAGTCAGAGGCGTCTGCAGCTTCATCAGCGCGATGTCATTGTTCTTGGTCTTGGAGTCGTAGTTGGGATGAGAAATGACCTTTCCCACCCGGTTTCCGCCTCCGTAGGACATGAAGGACTGTCTCAGAATCCCCGCGTACGCCGTCCAGTGCCGCGCGCTGTTCAGAGGCCTGGGGGGCAAGGGGGAGCCGCGCTCGGTACCTCGCAGCCACGGACGCGAGACGCTCGTCCGCCCGGCCTCAGAGGCTGTGAGTGGGAGCCCAGATCCCCAGAGCGGAGGGGACGCGCCAGGGCCACCCGGCTGGGCTCCGGCGCAGGGCCCCGTCCGCCCTGCCCCTGCCCTCGTCCTCGCTCTTGCTGCGCCTGGAGGAACCTGCTCCTCCCGGTTCCCCTGCGCCCGCCTTCGAACTGGGCCGGGACGGCTCCTGAGGCTTCACATGCCGTTTCCAGCACGGCTGGGCCTTCCCTGCTTTCTGATGCCAGAGCGTTTCCTGGCACACAGTAGGTGCTTAATAAGTGTGTGCTGACAAACAGGCTCGAACTCTGACGTCAGTGGAAGTGCGCCCTTTGCCTAGGTGTTTGCCTTTTAAGCGAATCCCAACTGCCAGAGGGTGCTCGGCCGGCGTGAAGGGAGGGAAGGGGGGACGCTCTGGGTGGGGACCCTGGCACCCCTCCACCCCCCAACCCCCGCTCCGCAGAGCCGTCCCGAGGCTGGGCTGGGAGTCACGCCAGGCCGAGCCTCTCCACGGCAGAAAACCACGGCTGCTGAGCCAGGCTTCCTCGGACACAGGTGTGTGACCCCCAAAACGACGTGTTAAAGCAAAAGGCAGAGCAGGGATGTGTCTCCCAGAAAAGCTACCTCTGGGAGTCACGGCCACCCTCACCCGCCCCACCGTCTGCATGGCAATGCCGCGGCCGGGCATGCTCGGCCCCAAAGAGCCTTCCAGCATGGCAGCACGCGGGCCCTGGCGTGTCTGAGTGTGCCCTCTCCCAGGACGGGCATCCCGGAGACAGGAGCCCTCGAGCGGACGAGGGCATCTCGCAGGGGCAGGGCAGAGCGGGAGAAGGAAGCCTGGTCGCAGCAGCACCGCTGGGCACCTCCCGCCAGGCCGTACCCCAGCGCCCAGAGCCCGCGTGCAGGGCACGCTCGGGGCACGCTGCTGAGGGGCGGATGTGGCCTCAGGTTTCCGCGCCAGCTCGCCTGGCCTCCCAGTGGTGCCGGACCGGTGCCTCCACTGTCCCGTTCATGCACAAAGACCCGGGGGCTCCCAAAGGGCGCCAGCAGCAGGAGTCTGCCCAGCGCCCGCCGCCCCACGGCCCGCACGGGGTGGGGGACCTACTGTTCCACGCAGTGGGCGGCTGTCACGATCCACTCGGGGGTGATGACGGAGCCTCCGCACACGTGGAGGTTCTGCACGTGCAGGCTCACCTGCCAGGGCCAGTCCCCCAGCGCGGCGCCCGAGCCCCCCACGATCCTGCTCTGCCGGCTCGAGTTCGAGGTGGTCCCGCAAGCTGAGGGCGACAAGCAAAGGCCAGCGGGCCCCTGAGACCGGCAGGGGAGCCACAGTGACACGCCCAGCCCCGCCCGGCCACCCCAGGTGCCACCCGGGGCCACCCTCCCCGGGGTTCTGGGCTGCCGGGCCGGTGGCGGCCACTGTTGCCGTCTCACACTCCCTTTGTGGGAGCCTGACCCCGAGGACTCAGCGGGGCAGGGACACCCCTCCAGCCGGCCTGTCCCCGGGAAGTGCCAGGTCCCTGCAGGTGCGGCTGAGACTCTGGGGTCCCCGATAGCCAGGGGTCCTGGAGACCCTGATGGTGCCCCAGGACTCTTCTCTACAGAAAAGGAAAGTGGGGGGCCAGGCTGGGAGGGAGTGAGCGTGTGAGTGAGGGGTGAGGGGGTGAGGGGTGGCTGAGGGGCTGGGTGAGCGAGGGGTCATCTCTCACCCCCTCACCCGCACACTCACTCACTCCCTCCCCCTCAGTCCCATCACAGCTGTCACAGCCGCTGAGCGCCAGGTGGCCACACCAGGACGTCGTGGCACACGCTTCAAGTCCACCCCAGGGCCGCGGCCAGGGCTGGCTGGGCCGCCCGGGGAACTTCCTGGGGAAGGGGCCCCACCAGGCCCCCAGCCTGGGTGCAGCACCAAGAACGGGGCCTGGCCCGCGTCGCGAGCTGGGCTGTGCTCAGCAGACGCCTCTTGGACCCCAGCGAAGGCCTGGAGAGCCCGTCGGAACGTAAAGCAGGAGCCCCCGGACAGCGGGACGGGCCTTTGGGCGCATTCTTCCCTCTCGCACTCCCCAGGGACACAGAGGGACGCTCCCCTGAGGTGACGGCGGCTTCCCGCTTAGGGCTGTCTGCAGCAGGACTCACCGATGCAGCGCAGAGACACCACCTCTTTCGAAGGGCAGGAGTCACTAGGCGGGGAGAGGGAAAGTCGGTCAGTATAACAGAGGAGGGGACGCCTGACTCTCCAATACCCAGAAACGGATATTGGTTTCCAGTGCTCTCTCCTGTCTCCCAGACAGAGGAGGACCCACCACTGAGACCCCGGTGAGGTGCGTAGATCTACGCGGGGCAGTGGCAAAGGGCAGACACCGGGCCAAAGCTCCCAGCTCAAAGCCCAGCTGTGTGGTCTTGGGCAAGTCACTTCACCGCTCTGTGCCTATTTCCCCCCATTGGTAAAACGGGATCATAAATTGTGCCAACTCACAGGGTGCTTGTGAGGGCAGGCATGCAAGGGGGTTAGTCTTTATTTTGATTCTTGGAATCTAAAATCATCCCCTAATTTTGTAAGGCATCTGGAAGCTTGTCGGCATGGAAAACATCACGAGCAGCAATTTGCCTGGGCGCAGAGGGAAAACGCGAGTTGTTCATTTGGGAGCCAAACATCCCAGGTCAGGGACGAAACAGGAGTGAGTGAAGCACTCGGTCCTACAGCGCATTCCCCGAGTGCCGAGAGGCCAAGAGGCGGCCGGTGGTCCCCTCCTGTCCCATCCCCACCAACTTCAGTGACAGACGGACAGACGCTTCTTTACCACCCACAAGCCTCAGCCTGGCTTCATTCCAACCACCTTCTAGAAAAAAAATAAATAAATAAGGCGGCGACCAGAGAATCACCCAGTTTCTGGATAGCATCTAACCCCAGGAAAGCCCCACTTCTTCGAACCTCTCCCAAACCACCTGACACGAGCCCAAGTCCTGCAACGGGCCCTTCCTGACACCCTCTTACTGAGACACCCCGGGCCCCCCCGGGGACTACAGATGAGTTCCTGGAGGACTTCAGCCCCGGGGCACTGACAATGCCAGGCAAAGACACGCCCCCGTTAAAAGAAGATGTTTTCTAAGAATCCTAAGGTCGACCCACACTGCACAGCCACCAGCGTCCTGCACACCACGGTTTTTCACCGCAGCCTGGGGACTAAAGGGCAACTCCAGGAGGAAAAGAGGAAGTCCCTCCCCTCCCCACCTCCACCCCCTGCCACGTTGCCTGAATACCAGACAATGACCTTCTCTTCTTTCTTCCAAACCCTCCAGCCACCCTGCATTCCCAAGGCCCTTGCCAAGGGTGGCAGTCTCCTCTTCCCCTCCCCCGCCCTGATGTCCGGGTAACCCAGGAAGACAAAGCACCACTCTGCATTTACAAAGCGCCCAGGCAGCTGTGTTTGGCTTCTCAGCAGGCAAACCACAGCCCGTGCTGTTTTGATGGGCACACCTGGCTCATCCTGTCCCGCATTCCCAGGGACAGCCAGGCCCCCCCAGACACCTCAGCCAGCAGCCACCAGGAATGCAAACCTGCCCCCAGCCTCCCACTCAGAGGAAAGGTGGGGCGGTGCTAAGAGGACTTGCACCTGTCCACCCCCCACCAGCCAGCAGGAAGGTGTGCCCAGCACCTGGGCATGAGCACCCAGACCTGGGAGGTGAGGAAGCTCCTTCGCAAAGGACACTATGTGTCTTTGACAGTGGAAACCATTCAGGTAATGGCAACGCTGCAGACATTTTAAACCCATGCAAACCAGAATGAGTAGCCTAAGTCCACCCGCTCTTCCACCCTCCTTGCCAGGTCAGCCAGCAATCACGTGACCCGTGGCTTGGGTTTATTCCCACCCACTGGACGTACTGTGCTCTGCCCAGGGCCAAAAGTCAGCTTCGAGGTGTAGGAAAAGCTTGCTGGATTGCACTAGCTACTCACTCCCAGGCCCCCCGAACACTGCCCACCCCTGGCCTGGCCCCTGGCACTGCGGCTCATGGGTTGGGGCCCAGGGGACCCACCGTCCCAGCTACCTGGAGTGGAGTGGCTTCCTGGGAGGCAGGTCTTGCAGTGCTGAAACCAGCAAAGTCCCTGGCAAGCCAGGATGGGCTGGCCACCCCAGTTGGGGCCCCGAGATAGTCTCTTGGGTTCCTGGGGCCACACCCTGGCACAAGCAGGTACATACAGACAGCTTTCAAGTCTGCCAAGTTTTCCCCCAATGAGGGCAGGTGGCGACTGAGAACAAAGTGCCAAAGCAACCTCAGTCACTTCCTGCAGGTAGAGCCCCCAGTCCCGATGGGATTCCAGGCTCTGCCTAGTGCTAAACTCGCCAGACCCGCACGCACAGCTTGGAAAAATCAGACTCCGGACGAGATTCCTGGGGGACCTCCTCGTAGGTCTCCTTACAACATTTTTCAAAGAAAAAAAGAAATCGCCGCATACCTGTGGTACAGCTTTTTATAGATGTCGAGGCTGCTGGCGCTTGCGTTCAGCTTCATGAAGCTCGTGGCCCCGCTGTCGTCTGCTATCCCTTGGCTAGAATAAAAATTATTCCTAAAAGAGACGGAAAAATCTTATTTATAATAATGGTTGGGGCTTAAGCAAGCACAATTCCTAAGCTAGATCATGATACCTCTCTCTCTCTTGTATGATGCTCAGGGTAGGAGGGGAAAACCTTAGCATTTTGGAAAACAAAATCACATGCTCAAACCCTGTGACACTGAATGAATTATAACTATTTTTGATCCAATAACCATGAAATGTCAGGTTTCCAATCTAGCTTGGGTCAGAAGAAAGAAATGGTGAGAATAAGGATGTATGAGTATATAATCATACATACCTACAATCTAATAAAATGTACAGATATTAAAATGTCCCGCTTACAAAATTCCAGCAGGTTCCTGAACTGCGATGGGAGTTTCGCTACGTAACCGACCCTGGGGTTTAGGGCCGGCGTTGTGCAGCCTTCCACCCGCTAAGATGCCAACTCCCTTACCAAGTGGCGATTCATTTTGAAAATGTATATAGAATCCCTAAAATTGCACAGATAGCACACGGAGAGACCCCCACGGAATAGGAGAAATAATAAATAATGTGACCCTTTCTCCCATGTCCCATGGCTGCCAGGATTCCTAAATAATGCTGATAAGCCCCGCCAGGAACACTCCCTCTTAACTCTTCCCACCTTTCCTTCAAGCCGCAAGCAGGGATTTTTTAAAGCATAAATTTGATCAATGCTCTCCCCTGCTCAAAAGCCTTCAGTGGCTCCCAAATGCAGTGAAAGCAGCCCAGGACTTCTCCCTGCTGATCTCCCAACCAGCCCTCCTCTCCTCTGCCCCAGTCCCAGCTCCCCTCCCCCAGGGCAGCAAAGGGTTCAGCCCGGGCTGAGAGGGGCCTCAGGAAAAGAGCCACCAGCCTGCCCAGATTCACGCCTGGGATCCCAGCACTCTGGGGAGCTGAAGCAGGAGGATCGCTTGAGGCCAGGAGTTCAAGACCCATCTGAGCAAGAGCAAGACCCCATCTCTAGAAAAATTACCTGGCATGGTGGCACATGCCTGTAGTCCCAGTTACTTGGGAGGCTGAGGCAGGGAGGTGACTTGAGCCCAGGAGTTTGAGTTTGCAGTGAGCTACTGCACTCTAGTCCAGGTAATAGAGAGAGACTGAGGAAAGGAAAGGAAAGGAAAGGAAAGGAAAGGAAAGGAAAGGAAAGGAAAGGAAAGGAAAGGAGAGAGGAAAAGGGGAGAGGAAAAGGGGAGAGGAAAGGGGAGAGGAAAGGGGAGAGGAAAAAGGAGAGGAAAAAGAAAAGGAAAGGAAAAAGGAAAGGAAAGGAAAAAGGAAAGGAAAGGAAAAAGGAAAGGAAGGAAAACGAGCCCCTCAATATTTCCAGCCTGTACCCCTGACCCAGTGACCATGGCACTGGGTGTTCCCGAGCAACCAGGAGTCTCTAGAGGCCAAGGGGCACTCAGGCAGGGTGACGGTGAGCCGTGGTCCACAGGCACGCGCCAATGTGCCAGGCACAGCTCTGGCAGAACGAATGCGCCCTGCTGGTCACAGGGACCAGTTTTGGAAGGGGACAACTGTCCCCAGCATTTGTGTGCTGGCACTTCTGCCGGGAGGCAACAGGAGCATCTCTCGTGTTCCTGCCGTCACCGATCAACCTGCTGACGTCCCACCCCCGCTGCAGGCCCATTACTCACCGTAGCCCAGGTCCCTGCAGGCACCGCCCGTAGCTCTCGCTCCAGTAGTCCCAGCACACGGGGTGCCAGGACTTCCTCTGCGACGAGTAAACCTGAAGGATGAAGTTCGGTCCGTAGAGACGAACTGCACAGAGAAGGAGGACTCTCCGTGAGTTTCACGCAATCGTCCCTTCCTGGGTCGTCCTAACTGCCAGCGGACCCCACGCTCCCGGGACACCAAGGCTCTGCACGTAGCGGCAACGTGAGGTTCACCCCTCTCGAGGCACGGACCGCGCATGGGGAGGCCGCGGCCTGCTCTTTCCCTGCTGACACGTGGGCTTTGCGCAAAAAATGGAGAACAGGTGTTCAGACACAAACTGGCACAGGTGTTCACTGCGGTCCTGTTCACGGGAGGCGAAGGGTGGAAACCACCCAAACGTCCACCACGGATGAGTGAGCGAAACGCGGCGTATCCAAAATGCACAGTGGACCATCTCCCGGCCACAGGAGGGAGCGGAGGTCTGCCCCTGCCACGTGGTCAGCCCGGACGGCACCGTGCGCAGGGAGGGGCGCCGTCACAAATGTCTTCTATTCTATCACCTGTGTGGGAGGTGTGGGTTTTTTTTTTTTTTCAGTTGGTTCGTTTTTTGTTTGTGGGGTTGTTTGTGGTGGTTCTGTTGTGGCGTTGGCTGGGTACGAATCTCCACATCACGGTGTGTACGCGTACTGGAGGCGGAAAGCGGAAATCCACAGGCAGAAACGTCAGTCGTTGCTTAGGACGGGGGAGGGGCAGCGATACAGGGCGGGAGCTCCAGGGTGTGGGGTTTCCTTTCATGCACATGAAGAAAATATTACCAGACCGACGCAAGGAATGTATCAGGAAGAACAAAACCACCCAAAATTTACCTTTGACAACACACGATACAATTTGGCATGTCGAATGATATGCTCAGTAAAGCTGCTTTTAAAAATACAGTATAAAAAGGCCGGCGCGTGGGGCTCACGCCTGTAATCCCTAGCAACTCTGGAGGCGAGGCGGCAGCATTGCCGAGGCGCTCAGGAGTTTCGAAAACCAGCCTGAGCAAGAGCGAGACCCGTCTCTACTACATAAACCAGACAAGAAACTTAATTGGCCAACTAAGTAATTAATACCCTACCAGAAAAAATTCAGCCGAGGCATGGTGGTGCATGCCTGTAGTCCCAGCTACGTCGGAGCTGAGGCAGGAGGATTGCTTGAGCCCAGGAGTTGGAGTTGCTGGTGAGCTAGGCTGACGCCACCGGGCACCCACTCTAGCCCTGGGCCAACAAAGCGAGACTCTTGTCTCAAAATAAATAAATAAAAGATTTTTTTCGAAAGTGTTCTTTAAGCGACCACTTTGAGGGACAGGGGGCCTCCTCTCGCCCAAATCCTGGACCTCAGCTCTTTTATTCAAAGAAACGAAATGTCATAGATGCAGTCGAGGCTCCCCCCTACTCGAGCCCCCTCTCTCTCTCCCCAGAGGCAGCCGAACCCCAGAGTTCTGAGAGCCTTCCGCCGGGGAGGGGAACACATCCAGCGTGGCGCGGGCACAGAACGGGACCCTCTGGGGCCTGGGGATTCAGATGAATGCTATGCGGGAGAGCGAGCCGCCAGACACCGAGTCCCGTGTGACTTGCTCATGCAAAGCCAATGCACGTAAACAGAGCCGTGCGGTCTGGGCGGACACACGTGGCTTAAAGCATAAACGGAGGGCCCGGTCATGCTTCCGCCCCACGCCTCTCCTCCGGCCCGTGGCCCTGACTCACTGGCCGGCCTGACACCCGGGGGCTCCTTCCCCCCTGCAACGACGGGACACGTCGGATTATTTTCTGATGCTTCAGTGGTGAGTGAGGCCAACACCACGTGGGAGCTGGCCACGGCTTACAGGAATGGATAAACAAACGGCTACCGCCACACAGTGGGATATTACTCAGTGCTAAAGAGAAATGCGTTTTCCAGCCGTGAAAAGACCCGGAGCAACCTTAAATGCTCATTCCTAAGGGAAAGAGGGCTACATGCTCCGGGATTCCGACTCTAGGACATTCTGCAAAGGGCAAAACTGGGGAGGCAGTAAAAAGATCTTCGCTAGCCAAGGCCAGCGGGAGAAACAGGAGCGCAAGAGAGCTGAGGGCAGCGGGACTGTTCTAGATGACACTATAGCGGTGGGTATACAACACTGTGCGTCTGTCAAAGCCCGCAGAGCTGGGCAACAGAAAGAGCGAATTCGAATGCAGACTGAGCGCTTTAGTTAGCAGCAATGTCTCCAACTGGTTCCTCAGGTGTAATGAACTTGCCACGAGCTCTAATTCGAGATGTTGCTGGGTGCAGGGAGGGGTATGTGGAACTCCCTGCACTATCCGTTCAATCTTCCATAACCCTAAAGCTACTCTAAAAAACAAAGTCTAATAATTATTTTAAAGGAACTGAAGTTGAATACACTTCCACAATTAAAAATAAAACTGCCACCGTGACGTGGTAAAGAGTAAGGTAGATGTTCATGCCTGGTTTGTGGATGACTTTAAGATTTTTTCCTTCCCAACTATCTGCATTCCAACTGTCAACTAGGAGAGAATGGTAGTTGGCCATACAGAGAGCTGGAAATGGTCTCAAGCAGTCTTTTTTTTTTCTTTTTTGGTAGGTATTAGGATGTTTTTCCAGGCTTTATCAAGGTAACGTTGACAAATAAAATTTGGCATGTTCAGGTGGCTCTGATACATGTCTATCGTGAGCTGCCACCACACATCAAGCTAATTAACATATCCATCGCCTCAACATACTTACTGTTTCTTTTGGCAGATTTTCTCTTTATTGGTGGTGAGAATACTTAAGAACTACCCTCTTGCAGAGTTTCCAAGAACACGAGGACAGTATTATTAACTAGAGTCCAGTTCTTTTGTTTCCTTTTTGAGATTTGAGAAAGAACACAGAAAAGATAGCAAATAGAAGTTGAAAGTGCATTGGTGGTTAAATACACACACACCACACACACATCGCCCTGGAAAGAAAGTTCGGCAACACCGTTCTGAATGTTTCCTATGGGATGAGTACATTCTTTATAATTTCCATTGTACGAGGCGGACAAATTAAAAAAAAGGCACACCACACATGCCTGTTCTGGTTTAATATGTAAATAGAAAACACACACAATGTCGTGCTCTTCTGTTTCGTTCTATAGAAATGAATCAATGTGGATTGGATAAAACCAAATGAGGAGGTCTATCCAATTACAGATTCGTAAACCCTCTGAGCCAGCAATTTACTGCTGGGAGCATTTCCTACTGCAGCGCTCACAGGCTTGGAGCGTTGCATCTGCAGCAAAGGTGGAGAGATCCCACATGTCTCCAGGAGGGCCGGCACAGTAACTGTGCTCCAATGGGCAAAGGAAGAGGAGCCATGTCACCATAGGAACTGACTTTCAGGATGCTATCCAGTGCTGAAAGCAGCTTGGATAGTAGGGAGGGGAGGGAGGAAAGAGACCCCAAGGAGGGGAGACACTTGACGGGAGGAGAGCCAGGGATTTCGGTGATTCCTCGGACTCTACAACCCTGAAATTCTATTTAGAAAAGAAACAGTTCTGTGTAAACATGTCAGAGTGGCTATCACAAACCAAAAGTGAACGCACGACCACTCCAGTCTGCGTCCCCACGAGGCTTGGAACGTGTCATGGTTCAAGACAAGTTCTAGGGGAGAAGGAGAGGAGCGAGAGGCAGCTCGCCAGCCGCAGGCCGAGTCACCGCTGCCACATGGAGCTCTGGGCGCAGCTCTCAGCCAGCTCCCATGTTGCGGGCGTCGCTCCTGCTAGAGCCCTTCACCTCTTGCAACCCTTCAACACATTAACTTGAAAATGGAAAAGAGAACCCAACCCCACCCACTGAGGTGTACCTCCTACCTGTTAGAATGGCTGTGACGAAGAGCAAAGGGGAAGGTGTTGGGATGTGGAGAAAGGCAGCCCTGCACGCAGTCGGGGAAATGCAACGGGTGCAGCCTCTATGGACAACAGGTCAGGTTCCCCCAAGTAAAATAGAACACGTGTCATCAGCTTCCACGCCTGCCATGTGTCCAGAGGAAGGCACGCGCCAGAGACGCCTGCACAGCGTGCACGGCAGCAGCGACCGCAGCAGCTGAGACACGGGCCAGCCTCAAGCGTCCGCCCAGCGGGTGAGCCAGACAAACTGTGTGTGCACCACACACAATGCAACACCCAGTCGGCCTTTGAGGAAAGAAGGAATCCGCCCATTGCGACAACGGA